GGGCTAAAATTGTTGGGTCAAAAATGTATGGTTCTTGGATTACCAAAAATTGGTTCTTTTGAGTTATGTGAATGATGCATTTATGGAAAACAAACTAGAAAACCATTTCCCATTGGAAAGGCTTGGAGGGCTTCTACTTGTCTTGAATTAATTCATGCTGATTTGTGTGGGCCTATGAACACGGAATCATTGGGAGGAAGCCGTTATTTTCTACATTTTATTGATGATTTTAGTCGCATGAGCTGGGTGTATTTTTTGAAGTATTTTCAAAACAAAGTACCATGCAGATGGAAGTATACAGAGGCACAAAGCTAGACTAGTAGCAAAGGGATACTCACAGCAGCATGGTATTGATTATGAGGAGACATTTTCTCCCGTTGCCCGATTTGAAACCGTGAGAACAAAGTGAAGCAAGGAGAAGATGGAGTTTTTATTTCACAAAGAAAATATGCAACAGACTTGCTCAAAAGATTTAATATGGTAAACTGCAAGGCTGTGGATATTCAATTTTATTTGATGATGGAGCATGTGTTATTAAAGATAAACAATCAGGACAAACAATGGTTAATGTTTACATGACCAAAAATAGAATGTTTCCACTTGAAGCCTCAAAAGTGGAAAATTTTGCTCTTGTTGCTGGTGAACAAAATAACTTCAAATTGTGGCACTTGCGGTATGGACATCGTAATGTCAGGGGGCTAAAATTGTTGGGTCAAAAATGTATGGTTCTTGGATTACCAAAAATTGATTCTTTTGAGTTATGTGAAGGATGCATTTATGGAAAACAAACTAGAAAACCATTTCCCATTGGAAAGGTTTGGAGGGCTTCTACTTGTCTTGAATTAATTCATGTTGATTTGGGTGGGCCTATGAACACGGAATCATTGGGAGGAAGCCGTTATTTTCTGCTTTTTATTGATGATCTTAGTCGCATGAGCTGGGTGTATTTTTTGAAGTACAAATCAGAAATTTTTGAGAATTTTAAGAATTCAAAGCTTTAGTAGAGAAGCAAAGTGGGTCCTGCATAAAAGCTCTTCGTACAGACAGAGGTGGTGAGTTCTTGTCTAATGAATTTAACCACTTTGGTGAAGAAAATGGAATTCACAGGGAATTAATAGCACCTTACACACCAGAGCAAAATGGAGTGGTTGAACGCAAGAATCGTACCGTGGTTGAAATGGCAAGAAGTTTACTAAAAGGCAAGGGACTTCCAAATCAATATTGGGCAGAAGCAATTACTACCTCAGTGTACCTACTAAATATTTCTCCTACAAAGGCTATCTTAAATCAAACATCATATGAAGCTTGGAGAGGTACAAAACCTATGGTAAGCCACTTAAGAATTTTTTGTTGTATTGCTTATGCTTTAGTAAATTCTCAAAATCTCCAAAACTAGATGAAAAATCTGAAAAATGCATTTTCATCGATTATTGTCTTGAATCCAAAGCATATAGGCTATACCACCCTCTTAGTGGCAAAGTGATTGTTAGCATAAATGTAATCTTCAATGAAGAAGCAGGCTGGAATTGGAGTAGCAAAAGTGACGAAATTCAACTTGAAACCTCATTGAATGAAATGGCGAACCCAATACTAGCAAATTCAACAAATTCCTCTCCCTCAACTTCAAGTAGTAGCAGCCCAGCAAATTCACCAAGTTCATCTACTACAAATTCAATAGACAGCAGCTCATCTTCCTTGAATGAGTCATTTGATGAGACAACTCCAAGGAAATTCAGATCTTTGAAAGAAATCTATGAATCTGGTGCATTTGCCTTATTTGTTACAGATCCTACAAATTATGAAAAAGCAGCAAAAATGGAAGAGTGGCAAAATGCAATGAAGGAAGAACTCATGGCAATACAAATAAATGAAACTTGGGAGTTGACAGACTTGCCTAATGGAAAAAGTGCTATTGTCTTGAAATGGATTTTCAAAATAAAGTACCATGCAGATGGAAGTATACAGAGGCACAAAGCTAGACTAGTAGCAAAGGGATACTCACAGCAGCATGGTATTGATTACGAAGAGACATTTTCTCCTGTTGCTCGATTTGAAACCGTGAGATCAATTTTTGCCTTGGCTGCACAAGAACAATGGCCTATTTATCAATTTGATGTAAAATCTGCCTTTTTGAATGGTGAATTGGAAGAAGAGGTCTATGTTACTCAACCTGAAGGTTTTGTAGTCAACAGCAAAGAGGAAAAGGTGTACAAACTAAGAAAGGCACTCTACGAGTTAAAGCAGGCTCCACAAACATGGTATAGCAAGATTGATTCGTATTTTCTACAAAATGGGTTTGAAAGGAGTGAAAATGAGCCTACACTTTACTTGAAGAAGCAAGGTAAGAATGATCTTCTTATAGTCTGCCTCTATGTTGATGACATAATTTACATGGGCTCAACTCACTCTCTTATAGTTGAATTCAAATCAAGTATGAAGAGTATGTTTGAAATGTCAGACTTAGGTTTGTTACATTATTTCCTTGGGCTTGAAGTGAAGCAAGGAGAAGATGGAGTTTTTATTTCACAAAGAAAATATGCAACAGACCTGCTCAAAAGATTTAATATGGTAAATTGCAAGGCTGCAGCCACACCAATGACTTTGATTTATTTGGCTCATACTCAGCCAGATATTTCATTTTCTGTGGGTGTTATCTCAAGGTTTATGAGTAATCCTTCAAAGCATCACTTTGGAGCTGCAAAAAGGATCTTACGATATATTCGTGGAACATTGGATTATGGAATTTGGTATACTCATGTTTCAGATTTTAGACTATTTAGTTCTACTGATAGCGATTGGGCAGGCTCTTTGGATGATAGAAGGAGCACTTCAGGCAATATTTTCAGTCTTGGATCAGGTGCAATTACATGGTGTTCAAAAAAACAAGTTACAACAGCATTATCATCTTCAGAGGCAAAGTATGTTGCAGCTACTACCTCAGCTTGTCAATGTATATGGCTTAGGAGACTTCTTGCAGACATTCAACAAAGGCAAGAAAGTGCAACTGAAATTTTCTGTGACAACAAAACCACAATTGCAATGACAAAAAATCCTATATTCCATGGAAGAACAAAGCACATAGACATTCGTTTCCATTTTATTCGTGACCTGGTGGCAAAAGAAGAGATTGCATTGAAGTTTTGTAACACAAATGAACAAGTGGCTGATATATTTACAAAGGCTCTACCATGTCAAAAACACGTCTACTTCAGATCACTACTTGGTGTGTGCAATTTTGAATCAAGGGGGAGTGTTGAAAGTTGATTCAAAATTATCTAAGTTTGACTTAGTCTTTAATATTTATTCCAGCAGATTCTTGCTCTTTAAGTTACTGTTTTTCTGGTCAGCAAATAAATCTGAACATAGTGGCAATAATATTTGATATTAGTTGAGATTTTTTTGGTTTTTCAGTTGCTTGTAAGCCTATATAGGCCCCTTCAGTTCTGGAATAAAACGTGTAGCAGATCACTTGCATATTCTGTATTTCTAAGTGTTATTTTTTCTCTGCAAGTTCTCTCTCAACACTCTGCTACTCTAAATTCCCAACATTTAGTTATATGTTGGATCCTGAAATGAATACGAGGAAACCTCAAAAATAACTACAAGCAGTACCAATTGAAAGGCAACCCGTTTGGCGATTCCTTAGACAAAACCAAAGGTATGCATCTAAAAAGCTAGAAGTTCTCTTATCCCCAAAAGTAAATAGCTTTATTGTCTCCAAAACAAAATCACTGGGATACATCTACTGATCTATCTGCCCAAAAGTCTGTAGAAAACAGGTAAGTTTTAGCATCTAATCTTTAAATGGAAGTACTCAGACTAAAAGGTTTAAGGTGCCCTTTTTATCTCCCACTTCTTTTAGATGGGCATGGCATTTTTTGATATTTTTTATCCCGTGGAGTGACAGAACGACCAAGGCCACAAGTTTGTGACAACACTTTTGTGAAGTCGAACCCTCGTTCCACAGTGCCCCTTCTATATGATATGCATAATATGATTAAGTCTGCAAAACTTTTGAACTTTCCAAGTACTGGAGAGAAATCCTTTGAACATCTCGATGTTCTTCTATCCACCTAGCAAGGCAAAATTCTTCTGTCTTCATAAAATCTAACTTATCTTCATGTTGGAAAAAAAAAAATTGTGAAAATATTTTATTTACTAAAAAAACTAAATAAAAATTAAATGAGCTTTAAACACATTAATAACAAAATAATTGTAGAAAATGTTTGATTGACACGAGAGCTGGCCACTATCTCGTTAAGGACAAATTTACATAGCATTGGTGGTCATAAACTTCAAGAAACTTTCAGGATATAAAAAACTTTGTTTGTAATACTATTACTCCAAATTAGAGACAGTAATATCATTTGAACAATGCCTTACACTCCATTTCACAGGCTAGGACTTAAACAAGATTCAGGCTTCAAAGAAAACAAATAGGATCTATCTATAATTGTTTAAAGTTTTCCTCCACGTGGACATGTCTGTTCTTAAAGGCATGCCTCTAGACCAAGTCTATAAGTAAACAATTATATATTTAAAAAGAAACATCTTGAAGGAAATATTTATTGTGAAAATATATGCCTATTTGAAAGGTTGTACCAATACTCAAAAAATAAAATAACTACACCAAAAGTACAATAACAGTTGTTGTTTTAACCAAAAATAAATTCTATAATTACTCAATAAGCTGAAGTGGTAGAGTCATGACTCGAAATCAATGAGATCCTAATATAGTTACGAAAAAAAAGGAACTTTCTTTGGAATCTAACAGACAAATCATAAATCTTTGAAGTGCTCAATTATTCTAGTAAAATCACAACTGATTATTGACCTCTATGAACTTAGAACAGCAAACGTTCTTAAATGATTATCATCAGTCTTTTCAATATATTATATTTGAAACTCTTCATAAACTAACATGTTCCCATTAGACAAATCTTTTAATGTAAAAAATATGTGCAGAGGTCTGTTGAATTTTAAATAAACAAAAGCTTCTAATGGATCTAACACTGGTGAACCTAATTCACCCAGAATCTGTAAAACCTCTTATGAAAATGATATCAATGAGGTCAGGAAAAAATGGTACCCAAGGATTCTTGTAATTCAACCATTGATTTTTAGGTCTATTCCTAAAATCGCAAGGAATTCATGAACACTGATATTTGTCAGAGAGTACAGGAGGAAAAAACATCTTGCATTCTAGTGCATTCAATCATTTTATTCTATTAGTTAATCTTTTTGCAAAGGAGAATGCTTTTTGATGTGGTCCCACCTTAAACAACTTGTAGGGTTACTCAAATTTTAGCACAATGTTTTTCAACTGGCACTTAACAAATACCATTTTTCCTATCTACCAACAATTCTTTCAGGATAAAGTATAGATATGTTAAATGTGGCATTAATTTGTAATCTTAGGAAATAAATAAGGTTACATGCACTTGAACAAAATGTATCAGGAAAATACATGATGCACTTGAAGAAAATGTATCAGGAAAATACATGATGCAAATTCATGAATTATTAGGTGTCCATTTATATTCCCATGTCTCTAGAGTTATCCATGTGGTCCTATAAATAGAGGTCATTCTTGTAATCTCATTGTAGAAGGAAAAAAAGAAGAAAACATTATTGAGTGTGCTGTAGCAACTCAAAAACTATCAATAAAAATTCAAGTTTTTCTTCAACACTTCGTTTCCGCACTAACAAATTTGGTATCAGAGCCATAACTTGTGATTGCATTTTTTCATGGCTTTCATACAAACAGCTTCGTTGTTTACATATTCTTCCAGTCAAGTCCCAATCTTCGAAGGCGAGCATTATGAATACTGGAGCATCCAAATGCAAACTTTCTTCATCTCCTTAGATCTTTGGGATGTCATTGACGATGAGGAGTACGAAGAACCATCCGAAGACAATGAAGATTACGAAAAATTGCAAAAAGAATTTAAAAGAAAAGATGCAATGGCTCTCCGCTATATTCAACAAGGAGTCGGGAAATCAATTTTCCCTCGTATCTTTGGTGTTAAAAAAGCCAAAGATGCTTGGGAAATATTGATGCAAGAATTTCAAGAAACGGAGAAAACGATCGCGTTGAAACTTCAATCCTTATGGAGAGACTTTGATAATCTCCAAATGGAAGAACGAGAATCGGTTCGTGTTTTTTCTTCACGAGTAGCCGAGACAGTAAATCAAATCAAAAGCTGTGGTGACACAATTACAGATAAAAGAGTCGTGGAAAAAATGTTAAGATGCCTTCCTCCAAAGTTTGACCATGTTGCAGCCGCAATTGAAGAATCGAAAGACTTGTCCAAAATGACCATTTATGAGTTAACCGGGTCACTTCTTGCCCATGAGCAAAGGATCAATCGTTCGAGTAACCAATCCACTACCGAACAAGCTTTCCAATCAAAGCAAACATCAAAAGGAGGATCGAACAACTATGGAGAACACAACAGAGGCTCAAATCAAACAAAACAAAAAGATAGCTATTGGAAGAAGGGTGACAAGCAAAGCAAATGGAAAGGCAAGCAAACACAAATTTCTGGTGGTAACAATCCAACTTGCATAATTTGCAAAAAAATGAATCATGAATCAAAGGAGTGCTACTTTAGATGCAAAAGGTGCAAGATCCCCAATCATTCTCAAAGGGATTGTTGGTTTCAAAATAAAGAGATGACAGAAAGAAAAAGTGCAGCAAACTTTTCTCAAGAGAATGAAAAGGAAATTCTGTTTTATTCTCAAAATTATGAAAATGGAGCTCAAAGCCCTTGGTATTTGGATAGCGGTTGTAGCAATCACATGACGGGGAATCGCGACATCTTTGTGGACCTTAATCCAAATATTACTTCACAAGTAATTCTTGGCGATGGAACATGTAGAGATGCGGTAGGAAAAGGCACCATTGCTGTCCAAATTAAAGAAGGTAACAAGAAACTCATCACAGATGTTCTTTATGTTCCCAATCTTTCTCATAATCTCCTAAGTGTTGGACAACTTATTCAAAGTGACTTCTCTGTCCACTTTGATGATGGTGCATGTAAAGTTTTTGACAAAAAGAAAAATATTTGTGTGGCAAATATTGAAATGAAGAACAAGACATTTCCTCTTATGATGCCACTAAATGAGAATTGTGCACTCAAGGCAAGATATGGTCATCTTCATGAAAGAGGCCTTCGTTTACTCCAAATGAAAAACATGGTGACGGGACTTCCTAACATCCAACACATAGACAAAATGTGCGAAGGATGCATCTATGGGAAATTGCACAAGTTGTCGTTTCCAAAAACTTCATGGAGAACGAAACACCACTTGAGCTTGTGCACTCGGATATTTGTGGGCCAATGCAAACTCCCACTTTTGGAAACAAGAGATATTTTATTCTCTTTGTTGATGACTTCACAAGAATGATATGGGTTTTCTTCCTCAGTCAAAAATCTGAGGCATATTCCACATTTCTTCAATTCAAAGCTCAAGCAGAAAGGCAAAGTGGTTTTTTGATAAAAACTTTAAGGACCGATCGTGGAGGTGAATATCTCTATAATCCTTTCATGGAATATTGCAGAAAAAATGGCATCAAAAGACAATTAACTGTGAGTCGAACTCCGCAACAAAACGGCGTGGCCGAAAGAAAAAATCGCACAATTGTTGAAATGGCAAGAAGCATGCTAAAGGGCAAAGGACTTCCAAATCTGTATTGGGCAGAAGCTGTAAATACGGCAGTATACATTCTCAATCGGTCTCCAACAAAGGCTGTACGGAATAAAACTCCATACGAAGCTTGGAACAAAAAGAAGCCAATGGTTGATCACTTCAAAATATTTGGCAGCATTGCTTATGCTCTTATCCCTTCTCAAAATCGGGAGAAATTTGACGAGAAAGGACAAAAACTTGTCTTTGTTGGATATAGTGATGAATCTAAAGGATATCGGTTATTAGATCCAACTACAAACAAAATTACAGTTTCACGAGACGTTGTTTTTGATGAAGCTGCATCTTGGGATTGGAAAGGGAAAGAAGTTGTGGACCAGACACCATACCATTTTGTTGATCCATTAACATTTCAAGCAGGTCCGTCACAAGTTGGAAATTTAGAGCATAATCCAAACCCTACTCCAAGAAGTGAGGAAGAATCTGATCCAGAAAGCCCTCCAAGAAAGACACGTTCACTACAAGACATATATGAGTCATGTGAACTTGGGTTGTTCTCTAGTGAACCACAATCATTTGAAGAAGCCTCAAAAGAAGTATGTTGGACAAAAGCCATGAATGAAGAAATGTCCACAATCGAGAAAAACAAAACTTGGAAGCTTGTTGCCTTGCCAGAAGGGAAGAAAATCATTGGACTCAAGTGGGTCTATAAAATAAAATACAATGAAGATGGGTCGATCCAAAAGCACAAAGCACGTCTTGTTGCAAAAGGGTATTCTCAACAGCCCGAAATTGATTACACTGAAACATATGCTCCGGTTGCAAGAATGGAGACAATTCGTACTGTTTTGGCACTGGCAGCTCAATTGGAGGTATGTGTTTATCAACTTGATGTAAAATCGGCATTCTTAAATGGTGAAATTCAAGAAGAAGTTTATGTCGAGCAACCCGAAGGATTTGAAATCAAAGGACAAGAAGGAAAAGTCTATCGTTTATACAAGGCACTTTATGGTTTAAAGCAAGCGCCGCGAGCATGGAATAGCAAAATCAATAGCTATTTCATCCAAAATGGATTCAATCGAAGCACGAGTGAATCATCTCTATATGTCAATAATCTTGGAAGAGACTTTCTTGTAGTATGTCTTTATGTGGATGATCTTCTATACTTTGGTACAAGTAAAAGCATGGTGGAAGAATTCAAGAAAAAGATGATGAGAGACTTTGAGATGAGTGACTTGGGTCAAATGAAATACTTTCTTGGCATCCAAGTCAAACAAAGCCCGGGAAGAATTTTTTTATCTCAAGAGAAGTATATTGATGATCTTCTAGAAAAATTCAGCATGAACCAGTGCAAGCCAGTCTCTACTCCAATGGGGCCGAATGAAAAATTCCAAGTCAATGATGATGCTGAAAAAGTAGATGCTACACTCTACCAAAAGTTAATTGGATGCTACACTCTACCGAAAGTTAATTGGTTCACTCATCTACCTCAACACAAGGCCGGATATCACTCAATCAGTGAGTTTACTTTCCAGGTTCATGAATGAACTAAGCAAGAATCACTTTACGGCGGCAAAAAGAATTTTGAGATACCTTAAAGGTACAAAAAATCAAGGCATTGAGTTCAAAAAGGAAAATAACTTCAACCTTGTTGGCTACACTGACAGTGATTGGGCAGGCTCACTTGTTGACCGCAAAAGTACATCGGGCTACATCTTTTGTCTTGGAACAAATATTATTTCATGGAGTTCCAGGAAGCAAAGGTCTATAGCACTATCTTCTGCAGAAGCGGAATACATTGCAGCTGCGGATGCCGCTTGTGAAGCAGTTTGGCTTAGAAGAATTCTAAAAGACTTGATGTTTGAACAACAAGAACCAACAACAATACATTGCGACAATATGTCAGCAATTGCTATGACAAAAAATCCAGTTTTTCATGCCAGATCGAAGCATATTGAACTACGTCATCACTTCATTCGAGATTTGGTAAGTCGAGAAGAAATTTGCATGGAATTTAACAACACAAATGATCAGCCAGCAGACATTTTAACAAAGGCAGTCACATTTGACAAGTTCGACAAGATCAAGGAAAAACTCAAGATTACAAATTAAGAGGGGGTGTTAAATGTGGCATTAATTTGTAATCTTAGGAAATAAATAAGGTTACATGCACTTGAAGAAAATGTATCAGGAAAATACATGATGCACTTGAAGAAAATGTATCAGGAAAATACATGATGCAAATTCATGAATTATTAGGTGTCCATTTATATTCCCATGTCTCTAGAGTTATCCATGTGGTCCTATAAATAGAGGTCATTCTTGTAGTCTCATTGTAGAAGGAAAAAAAGAAGAAAACATTATTGAGTGTGCTGTAGCAACTCAAAAACTATCAATAAAAATTCAAGTTTTTCTTCAACACTTCGTTTCCGCACTAACAAGATATTCACCAAATAAGTCTCACTCCTAAAATTTCTCAAATGCCTTTCGCTGAAGGAGAAATAATGAAGAATAAGCAGCATAATTGAAGTTATGGAAGATAGGGGTTGCTCCAAAAAAGCACAACATAAATTGCGCATCTCCAAAATTGTTGTTTGAAAATACAAAAAGGGATGAACACATGATAATTTATCGTAAAACAAAAACGTAGGTGGACATCTCATAAGAAAAACATGGGATACAAAAAATATCAAGAATTTCTAACATATCCTCCTTCCAAAAAGAATAAGCCAGAAGTTATATGTTGTTATAAATCCCACTTTATTTTAAAAGCATTAACCATTTACAGAAATATACTACACACCTCTAAGGTTGTTCACAACATGATAACCAGCTGGAAGGAACAATTCCAAGAAAGAAAAAAACATTTGTGTGCTCAAAAAGAGTTAGCAACGAGAAGATTCCAAGCCCTAAACCTTTGAATCTAATCTAGAAGGGAAACGACAGTGATCAATTTGAGCTCAAAAAAGTAAATAACGTAATACAAACAAGAAGAACTTAAAAAAATTGAAATAATGAAGCCCTAAACCTTTGAATCTAATTTAGAAGGAAAATAGCAGAGACGAATTTTAGCACAAAAAAATAAATAACACAATACAAACAAGACGAACCTTAAAAAAAATGAAATAACAAACTCACCTTTGCACATAATCAGGCAGCAAAAGATTGGAAACTTAAATCAAACTTCAATTTTGAATGGAAGATACGCAGGTCAAATTCTAAAAAGAAAAAAATAAATAATTAAAATCACATTCAAATTCTAAATCTTCAACTCAATTACATGAAGGAAAATTTGAAATTTTCGAAAATTTCTAGTGAAAATAACAAAAATTGCAGTTTGGTTGTAATACATTAAACAAAAAAAAAAAAAAAAAAAAAAAAAAAAAAAAAAAATTCAAAAAAAAAAAAAATTAAAAAAAAAAAAAAAAAAAAAAAAAAAAAAAAAAAAAAAAAAGTCAAACTTCAATATAAAAAAAAGTTGAAATTACAAAAGATAAAAACCAAAATGGCAGGCGGCTGTCAAACCAGCCCATTCCCAATGTGTGTGTGTAATTCAAATCTTTAACATACACATTACATCCACACACAAAAAAATGGTGCAGAGAAGAGGAAGAAGAAGAGAGAAAAAAAGAAAGGAAAAAGAGGGGAAAAAAAAGAAAAAAAAGGGAAAAGAGGAAGAAAAAAAAAAGAAGGGAAAACTTGCCAACGTGTTAAGAATTAAGTGGGTTATACTGTTAGGCTTGAATTTCTCAATTTTGAAAGGTAAGTAAAAGTTACTTATTGAAAGGTTGTGTTTGATTTTATAGTTGTTAGATTGTTAGATTAAATTCAATTTTATTGAAGGAGTTAAGTATAATAAATTATGAAGTTGAATAAAATGAAAGAAAAATTAGTTTTACTACTTAAAGAGACTTTAGAAATCGTCTAAACGTGAAATAATTAAGTTTGGGTATAGCCTATTTAATTAATGAAATTTATTAAAATAGTTAATTATTGATTTAAAAATAATATCATATTTCAGGCGGCGATACGGATATCGGAACAGCATACCAATCGAGTTGATTTTGGGTTACATAATTCTGTGAGTGGAGAAATATAAATATTTTTAAAGTATTTATAAATTAAGTATATTGTTAAAGTATGTGCAATTATATGCAATTATGTGTTCGAATTACATGGTTATTATGAAAATCTTTCTTATTATGATACATGTGGAATATCACAGATTATTTATGGCATATTTGTGACTTGGTATATAAGATATGTGATATTGAGATTTGTTTGGTATGTGAGACATGCAATATTGAGATCGGCCAGAAAAGTACCCATGATTATATACTTCTTCTAGTTCACAAAAGGACCTTGGCCGTGTTCTATCCTACACGGAGGGTCTTGACTTGACATTGGACTTGATCGTGTACATATAGTTCATAGAAGGGCCTTGGCCGTGTTCTAGAATTGATTATGAGAGGTCTTTGAGATCGACTTTCGTTCACGCAGGGGACCAAAGGCCCGT